TATTATTAAGGTCTTTGGCCTCAATCAATTATTTATGTATGCATGAACTGTCTTCATTGAGTGATGTTTTCTTCTTCTTTTTACAGTACTCTTCTAGTAATTTTGTCCATGTATTTGCCTTTTTCGTGTGCTGTGTTATTGCTCAGTTAGTTCTTAATTATATACAGTACTTTGATGCCTAGGTATTTAATTTTTTTTGCTGCTAGATACTGTGTGTTATATGTTAGAGCACAGAATATAATTTAAAAGAAACAAAATTGAGACAAAACAAAACAGGACTAGATGGATGATTTGTGAAATTCTCTTTATCTTTCATTCTCACCTCTGGTGTCATAATTTGCAAATCTACAACCTTCTGCCTTCTTATATCAGTACTGCTCACAAACATTATTTTAAACCAGTTATTTTCTAATAAAATATATGAACTGCACTTAGCCTATGAAAAGAGTTTAATTACATTTTATGCTTACTCTATCAGAGTTAGGTCTCAAACTATAATAAATTAACTATTAACATGGAAGGAAGGCTGCCTATAAACGCTGTACAACACAGACATAGTCTTGAGTGCATTGTCCATGGTAATAATAATACTCAAAACGATAAAGCTGCTCTTGATTAATATATGTCATCTTCCTTTTAAGTGTCCCCCAATCAATCTTTTAAAACATGCAAATCTGCTCTGGTCACCAGTGATTATCAGCCTAGCAGGAAAAATGAAGAGTTGGATTTCACTGCCATTGTGTTTTACACAAAGGCTCTAATGTCAGGCTTTGAAGAAAGAATTGTTCTCTAGTCTCCAGACAGTTCAGACTAAGGAACCGAGGTCACAAATGTCATAAGGGTTTTTTTTTTGTCCTTGTTTTGTCACACCAGCAGATGAGAGAGTATCTTACAGACAAAGTTATTCTGATTTCTAGGCTACATTTAAGGATAAAGGTCAGCTGATTGTCTCCTATCTGGCAGATTTCACTTTTGCTGTTGCACTTGGCTTTAGAGAGAAAAAGTTGTGAGAAAAAGGCTTGAAACATGCCGCTTTTATTTAAGCTGTGTAGAAGAGGAGCTTTTCCTTCTAGAATTCTAAACAGTGATACAAGGTCAGTCTTCTGTGGAAGCCCTTCTTCTTATCACTATTTCTTCTTAATCACACACTAAGGTGATATGTACCAACAGGACGGTAGCCAAAAAACAGGGTTGGAAAGCAATACTGGAGTGGCGTCATTAAGCCTAGAAGAATCCTGATATGTAGAGACCTAAAAACCAACATCAATAGAAAAACAAAACACTTTAGGGGAATCTCCTCATGACCAGCGAACTAACATTGGCTAGACACATGATGTTTTACTATTTCAAGTGTCCCTAACTTGTTTCCCCCATAGTGCCTTTCACTATATTTCACTATCTTCTTCTTAGGCACCCTTCAGTCTCGAAGGACCATGATAACGTGCTCTGTATGAGTGTCCTCTCCAGAGAACGAAGCCTGGGTAGAATAATACTGAGGATAGGCTGTTACCCAAGCAGCAAATCTCCCCTCTCCAATGAGATAGTCCAATGGAAAGGCAAGAGCCAATACAACTGGTTCCAGCGATGTCGCAGGAGTTGGCAGAACAACACAAACTGCCTCTGGGACTCCAGCTCTGGATTTTGCCTCAAGGTTTACTCCTGAAGCCTTTTCCATCAGTGGATATAGCCACAAGGCAGTGGAGGTTTGAAATCAGAGTTTTCCTTCGCCTAGATGGGCTGCCTTCCAAGGCTCATTATTTCAAAAAATTTCTTAATTTGGAGTAGAAGTGTGGGTTTTCTAACTAATTAAGGAGAAACATTTCTTTCTTTTCATTTGTTTTAGACCTCTACGTGTCACTACTATATTGGTTGGAATTGTGAGTCAGGCTGAAGTACATGGAAGAAAGTTGACAAGACTGCTGCAATGGGGGATGGCACTTGGGAATCAAATCCACTTCAGAAGTTGTCCTGTAGTTTAGACTGCCCCTCGTGCAAGATTTAAAGTGGAAAAGCATACTATAAGGCAGGACATACTAGTAATACATTTGGTACACTCATGTGTGCACACACAAAATAAACAACAGTTAATTTTTTATCAAGCTACCAGCAAAATAAGTAAGCAGTTCTCTTTCTCAATAAATGGCATTATGGACAACACAGAAATATAAATACAGTGCATTAAAATGTGTATGGTTAACTTCTGAACTTTTTCAGTTTCTTAAATTAAAGAATAATGATCTTTGAGCTCCATGAAAAAGTTAATGCTTGTATTTATGCATATTCCTGCTCACCTGAAAAGAGATTAATGGAAGGCAAAATGTGAAGTTTAATGCAGATGATCTTATAACAACTGAATTCTAATCTGGATGCACGTTTGTCTCTAGCTGCCCATGGTTAAATGAACAACTCCAATTTTGGCTGAATTTGGATAGGAGGTTTTGTGCCTTTCCACATCCATGGGAAATATCTTTATGCAAGTGCAAGCTTTGAAATTTTTCAGTAAAAACTGACTCAGGCATGTCTAATTATTTAAAAATGGACCTTTAAAATAGGCATACTAGATGCAGCCACAACTTTAGTAA